TCCAGGCAACTCAATGGGTATTTGGAGTCTAACCACTTGCTGTCGGACAGTCAAACTGGCTTTAGGAAAAAGAGTTCGACTACAACTTCCCTTTTGAATAACACGAACAAATGGTACATCAATATGGATAATGGTCTTTTAAACGGAATTATTTTTCTCGATCTAAAAAAAACTTTCGACTGTGTCGACCATGATATTTTGATAAAAAAATTGTCTTTACTTTGGCTGTAAAGGAACCACTTTAAATTGGTTTAAATCATATTTAACGAATATAGAAAACAAATGTGTAAAGTAAATCAAGTGACATCCCAACCTCGAATAATTCGTTGTAGTGTACTACAAGGTTCAAATGTAGGCCCAATATTGTTTCTTATTTATATAAACGACTTGCCTAATTGTTTGAGAACGACTACAGCCAGTTTGTTTGCAGACGATACTAATCTGACAGCAAGCGGGTGCTCGATTATAGACATCCAAACAAAATTAAACAATGTTTTGGAAAATATACATCACTGGTTATTGGCAAATAAATTAACTCTCAATAAGGACAAAACTGAATATATGATAGCCGGGTCTAGGCAACGGATTAGCAAAATTGAAGGTGATCCAGAAGTTAAATTAGGAAATTGTAATATAAAAAGAGTGAAAGAAACAAAAACTTTAGGTGTCATTATTGATGATCAGCTAAAATGGAATGCACATATAGATAATGTCGTTACCAAGGCATCAAAGGCCATAGGCATGATTCGACGAATGAAAAATGTTGTACCCCAGTCAACATTAATTTCAGTTTATAATGCAATAGTACAACCTCACTTTGACTACTGTAGCCTTGTTTGGGACATTGGTAATGTTTACTCGCTTGAAAAGCTGCAGAAAATGCAAAACAGGGCTGCAAGAGTCATTACTCATGGTAGGTCGTACGAAGTTAGGTCCGACACTATTTTACAGAACTTAGGCCGGCAGCCACTGATAGAAAATTGGAGAGAGAATAAGGCAGTTTTTATGTACAAAGCCAAAAATGGCAAATACCTGACAACAATTACTGATATCTTTAATGTGGAAAATAATGAGAATTATAATTTACGCAATAACGATTGTGACTTTTCGATAAAAAAAGCCTAAAACTAATTTTCTTAAAAAAAGTACTCAGGAGTAAAGATTTGGAATGAACTGCCAACAGAACTTAAAGAAAATGGTATAACATTAACAAGATTTAAAGCGCTGCTCCGAGACAGACAAACGTAGATTATTAAAGTTTTTTATGTTTTATTATAAGGGTGGGTGGGAGGACTGAGTGAAGGAAGGGGGGGAGGGATTATTCGTGTGTTATATTTATATATATTTATATAATATATATATATATATATATATATATATATATATATATATATATATATATATATATATATATATATATATATATATATATATTCGTATATTTCATTATTTTCTTCCATTATTATTAATCAACGGCCCCTTGAAAATCAGCTACAAGGAACTGTAGATAAACTTGCTGAAGGGCTACCGTTGTATATGTGTGTAAATAAGATTAAATAATAATAATAATAATAATAATAATAATAATAATAATAATAATAATAATAATAATAATAATAATAATAATAATAATAATAATAATAATAATAATAATAATAATAATAATAATGGAAACTTTTTATTAGATATTTACGATATACTATATATACATTGATAAACCTCACTTAATAAAAGGTAGCTTATCGATGTCCACTTGAATTGAATTTAAAGCTAAAATATATATACAGGTGAAAATCTTTTAAATTTAGTTAAAGTTTAAAAGTTCTGGGTTGTTCCAGTCTTTGTTTCGTCTACAGAATATATAATAAGACGTGCGAATACAAGTAGCAATTATTTTCTTTTTTACATATTTAATACATTGTTCGTCGTACTTCAGATCATGGAGCATATCAAATAAAGTATTCGTCGATTCACCAAATACACCTAAAGAGCTTATAGATACATTAACGAACTTAACTTCATCATATATATTTTCTTGATCGGTAATTAGAGTCAAATATTTTTCATGTTTTCGATCTGAGTTAGTTTTCAGGTTTGTTTCGAATCCAACAGTTAATTCAAGAATGTACAAAATCTTATTTTCAATTGTCAATAGAAGGTCTGGTCGTAACTCGTCACCAGTGATGACAGATGGGCTAATAAATCCAGGCAGATCTACATACATTTTGGACCTTCCAACGTCGAGAAGGCTGGACGCAATGAGATTCAAAACTGAATCATGTCGCCATGTATATCTCCCTTCGTTTAGATATGTCTTACATCCAGAGATTATGTGCAAAAGCGATTCAGGGCAGAAGCAGAACGAACAGTCAGCAGATGATGACAGTCCCCATTTAACTAGGTTTTTCCTAGTAAGCAAAGAATTGTTGATGTAACGTAGACTGAAGTTAAATATGTTCTTAGGAAGTTTTGAATGAACCGATGACCATAGGGAATTGAATGCCAACGTGGAGTTTTTCACGATGTTTGAGAAAAAAGAACCTTAATTGTGACATTAGGTTATTTTGTAGTCGCTGTTCGTTTTT